GAAAAAAAGTGCCAACTCACCTACCTGAGAAGTTAGGGAGGGGATGATAGGTCCCTTCTGGGAAGCTGGGCTCCAGTGTCTCAAATGAGGGTGCCAGGGCTCTCCCACATTTGTCTGCAAAGCCCCAGTTGGGTGCCTCTGTGTGTGACAGCTGGCTCACAGGGGGTGACAGATTGCAGTCCCCAAAGAAGGCAGTGTCTGTACTGATTGCTCTAGCAAACTCCCTGGAGGGCTCTGGCCACCCTGGAGTCAGGGACTCCCCCTGCAGCCAGCCCTATCCAAACTGAGGTAGGAGATAGATGGGCCCCTGGGCTGAGCAGCTGGGGAGCTTGTCAAACAGAGTAAATTGGAGCTCTGTTTTCCCTAAACACACCAAGGACAAAGTTAATAGCAGGAGCTGAGCTCTGCTGGAGTAAAGAGCTAGGGGGAACCACATCGATCACTCCGGAGGTCAAGGAGACCTCCCCGACTGCACATGCGCAGGGAGGCTCCTCTGGGGTCAAAAGGGGAGGGAGCACCATCCCACAGTAGGTGTTGTCAACCTCCCTGTAAGCCTCCACGCTGGAATCCATCTTGGCAAAAAGATGTGCACGCATATTGTGGGCAGGGCCCTAAAGACAGCTCAGATGTGGGAAAAGAAGCGGGCTAACTGGCCAGAAGAGAACAAAGACCAGGAAGAACTGCCCCATATTGGTGATTTAAATCACCTCTCTGGCAGGCTTCTCATTTGGGACACACACACTCTTCTCTGGGTGTGTATTTCTGCCTTGCTTTTGTCTTAAATAAACAAACCGTTTCTCTGTGTGCTCTGCCACATGTTGTTCTGTGTCTCTAATAATAAACTTTGTGCCCATTTTTGCAGTTTTTGCTTCCTTGAAACAGGATTCCTGCTTTTCATCCAGGCTACTCAGGTTCAGTCTCTGGGTAGGGAGATAAGATCCTGCTTCAAGACTGCTCACTGGTGTCTCTCCGAGAACAAAACCACTTGGACCAAGCACTTTCAAGCAGGGCAGCTTTGACACGGGGACGGGTGGCTCTACAAAGGAAAGGAGAGTGAGTGAACACCACTCACCTCCTCCTGAGGCCTTCTGGAGACAAGCAAGGAGCCTCCTGCCTTCCTCTCAGAAGGTACTACAAAGTCTCATTCTGTGTTACCTATCTACAACATTAGTATGTGAGAAATGGTGAAAGTCACGAAGCATGTGCCCTACTAACGCAACCAGTGCCGGCCTACTCCCACTTCTCTTCACTTACACACAAAGCAGGTGCAGTGAAAGGAAACTCCAAAGCCGATTTGGATTCCAGTGTTAACTCTGGTCCTACTAAGTCAACGCTTTTGAGCAAGTCTCTGAAGCCTGTTTCCTCTTATGAAATGAGGCTAATGTGCCCATGTCACAGGGTAGTTATGAGAATGAGGTGGATTAAGGGGTGCAGAAGTGCCTAGAATAGATCCTGATGCTCGATACATGTCTACTAAATATGTATTTGGCCTGTATTAAGCGCTTGTATTTAACGCATGTATTTACATGTAAACACATGTATTCAGTAATACTACTATACATATTACCCACGTGTTTGGCAGCTTAACAACTGCTTCTAAGGCTTTGCTGGTTGATGAACCCCACTGGAGAATTCCCACATAGCTTTCTGTCTCTTTTTTCTTTTTTTTTTTTTTTGGCCGAAGTGCACGGCTTGCGGGATCTCAGTTCCCTGACCAGGGACTGAACCTGGGCCATGGCAGTGAAAGCCCCAAGTCCTAACCACTGGACCACCAGGGAAGTCCCCCCACATACCTTTGTAGGAAGAGGTAGTTTTTCCTTTTTGCCTCTGAACTTACAGGGATTATTGTGGTCGGGTGTCAGCAGTGGCTTAAATAGCACCTTCTTATTCACAGGAAGGAGGATTTGAGAACTTTCAGTTCTGGAATAACTTTGTCTTATTTTCTTGCTGTTCTGTCTTTTTACTGATGGGTCTGGGGAAGAAACAAGATCACACCATTAATTTGTTTTTTAAAAACATCATTGATTCTTCAAATGAAAAATGAAACCAGACAGTGGGCAAGGAATCCGAGCACAGGAAGCGAGCATGGGTGAGAGAGATTTCACCCAGACGGGAGCAAGCTTGGTAAATTATTCCTACCCCACCATGACCAGCAAGTTTGGGTTTTGGAATTCAGAACCTTGCTTTCTAGAATGTCTTGTACGGTAGTTATCTTTTCGGAGATCCAGTTTGATCATCCCTGTTCTATTCCGAGAATACTTCATTGAACTTTGCTTACCTAACAGCGCCCATATTCCAGTTCTGCATCCTGAGCTGCGTCTGAGGTCGCCTTGATTAGAGTTTTGAGAGATGTTACTTGGTTTTACTTCCACAGATGACTAATCATTTGTGTGTTTATTTGTCTAACTTTCAGAGGGCAATCATATTTTCCTTTTTTTTGGGGTAAAGGCAACTCATTGTTTCCCTATGTACTGCCAACAGACTGGTTTCCTTGAGGGAAAACATCTGTACAAAGTCTGGTTTCAGGTCAGACTTGGACAGATGGTGCTGTTCTGTGTACTTGAAGTTGGAGTCTCATTTCTGTTGTTCTTGCTTACTGGGCCGAGGCGGGGGAAAGGATCAAACACATGGATTGTATTTTCCTATTCTGGAAAAAAATTTTTTCAGTTATTTTTTACTTATGTTTAAGATTGTTATAACATTCCATCCTTTATTTCCTCCCCACTAGAGTTCCCCACAGCTATGAGACTCATTTGTTTTAAATAACCTTTTTTTTAAAAAAAAATAAATAAAGCAATATTCATTAGGAGAAAATTGGATAGACCAAAGAAACAGTTACTTTTACAATTATTTTTGATTAGCACACAAAAAATTCTCCCAATCTGAATGATTTAGTCTATGTCTGGATTCAAGTATGTTTTCCACGAATAATAGTTAGCTGCAAAACAGTATCCTGTTCTATCGCAGAATTTCTGATTGATAATTTATACCAATGTACTGAGACCCTAAAATAGCCTCTTGCTTACTTTCACTGAGCTTGAGGCAAATATCCAGAATGGATAACTTTATTTGTAGCCACAATTTTGAAACTAGCTCTAGGAGACATGAGAGCAGGGGTGCTCCATGAAAACCTGTGTCTATGTACCGTGAAATCGCTCTTCCTTCTTATCTTTCTTTATATCCTTTTGCCTAATAGAGAACTAGCTGTGTTTTAAACCATTATATATGTAAATCTATCTTGAACAGTTCCTTGTCTAGAATGGACTGAATTGCCTTTTACATATACGGTTCTTTAATGATTTCTTTGTTCCTGAGGAGCAGTAACCCTCAGAAATACTTCAAAAAATCTCTAGGAACAAAGTGATTGTGCCATTCTTCATACTCTGCCTCTTGAATCTGAGCCCTCTCTTCAAACTTTGCCTAAAAGCCTCCTTCTTTCAGGAGGTCTCTCTCCTGCACCACCCCTTCCTACCTTATAAGTGGATGTGATCGCCCTGCCCACAAATTCCAAATCATATTCTCTACCAGTTTTATGGCACTTATGCTAATCTGATGTGTGTGTACTGTTTTATTCTTCTTGTGGGTTATGAGCTCCTTAAAGGCAGGTTTAATATCTTATTCTTTGAGTCCCTTGCAGCTATAGTGCCTTATAAATAAGAGTTGCTAAGTATTTATTAATCAAATTCTAGAAACGGAATAACTCTGGTCTTCTTTGTTTCACTTACATACTTACAAATATTTAAATGAAATGTATATTTAACAGAGTTGTAAAGGTATAAACTACTAATCAAAAAGTAACAATACTTCGTAGACATTTTTTTTTAACGTTTCGATGCAGGAGTACAAACTGTTATGAAATCTTTAAATAATGTTCTCAGCTTTCAGAGTAAGTTGTTGAATTGCTAGCTCAGAATCTGGGCTCCCTTCCTGAAACCAGATGACACACTTCTTGCCCCTCCCATGCCAAGGGCCCCTCCCATGCCAAGGGCCCCTCCCTCTTTGTGTGTGTGGGGGCTTCCCTTCTGCAGCTTGGCACTGAGATCTAAACCTATATTGGCAAAGTCCTCTTTCTTCTCACCTTCACGTGGAGGTGTGTTCATTTCTCTAAGCATTGTGCAACAGGACCAGTCCTTGTGGGAGACCAGAAAAAAAAAAGCCAAATGTTCAAAGAAAAGCCCCTCACCCCTCACCATACTCCTCACTAGCACTTCCAATGTGTACTGTGTGCTCGGATAAAATCGAGACCCATAAAATCCATCAATAGAGACAGCATAGTTTTCATTATGGAAACTTGTGCTAAAATAATAATGTGGTCATTTTACAATACTGTGAACTACTGCAAGGTCATCTAACATTTTTGTTCTCATTTTGTGATTGAATTATAATTGTATAACTTGAAATAACAAAGAACTGTTTTTAAAATACAAAAAGGGCAAATTAGCGTTCTTCCGTAAACTCTCTATAGTAATTTTTAAGGAGGGAAATAATTTAAAAAACCCCAGTAGGCTTTTCTTTTTTTTTTTGGCCATGCTTGGAAGTGGGGTTGACCTTAAAACTTTTTGGTCTCAAAGAACGCTTAATTAATCTGATGTGAAGAAAAAATAATAATCGCTTTATTTCTCTGGCAGTCTAATCACAGACCACCCCCTTTTCCCCAGCCTTAGGGGAGGGAGCGTTTAATAACGGTCTGTGTAAACTGATGCTCAGGCCGTAAGAGTTCGCAGGAGCTCTGCTCGAACAAGTTAAAACGAAGTAAAGAGCAAAGGGCGGCCCTCGAAGCAAAAAACTGCTCAAACCAGCCAACGCAGAGGGTCGCAATGGCTCTGCTGGCGCGGATCCTCAAAGCCCGTCTGAGCCCGGCGCCCGAGCGGGGCCCTTGGCAGCCTTGGCCCACGGACGCCAGGCTCCCGGCGAGGGCGCGGGCCGAGGACAAAGGAGCCGGGCGGCCGGGGGCCCCGCGGGCCGGGGGCCGGGCAGAGGGACCCCGGAGCCTCGCCGCCATGCCGGGGCCCCGGACCCTCGCCAACTTGGTGGAGCTCTTCTGGAAGGACGGCTTCAGCCGCATCCACGAGATCCAGGTAGCTGCGCGCGGGAGACCGGGAGCGCGAGGGGGCTCGCTCCGGCGGGAAGGCGCCGGGGACGAGGCCCGGGGAGGGAGCGCCGGGAAGGGGGCCCGGGGAGAGGATCCCGGGAAGGACGCCAGCGTGGAAACCCCGGGAGGGAGCGCCGGGGAGGGGACCCGGGAGAGGATCCCGGGGAGGCAGCGCCGGAGAGGGGATCCGGGGAGAGGAAACCCGGGAGGGAGCGCCGGGGAGGGGACCCGGGGGGAGGAAACCGGGGAGGATTCCAGGGAGGGAGCGCCGGGAAGGGGCCCCGGGGAGAGAATCCCGGGGAGGGAGCGCCGGGGCGCGGACCCGGGGAGGGCACCGGGGAGGGGCGCCGGAGGAGGGGGTCATGGGCAGGGGCCGCCCTGGAGCCGCTGCACCCCCACGCGCTGTACGCTCAGGGGGGCTGGCCTGCGGAGTCGGGGCGCCGGGAGCCGCCGCCCGGCCTCCCGGGACCGTCCCGAGGGAGGCCAGTGAGGAGCGCCTCTCCCGCGGTGGGTGACGAGCCCTGCGGGTCTTTACGCGGCCGAGGACAGGTTGCGTATGTTCCTAGTCCTTTTTGTTTGTGTTTTATAATTGAAAAAAAAAAAAAAAAAAACCAACCTAAAAATAACAGCGAGGGGGGCGGAGGCTCCGAGTTATGTAATCTCTAAGTGATGGGAAGACAAACGAAAGTTCGTGAACCTCGGCGTCAAGCCAGGTCTGGGCAGGGACTTAGGAAGAACCCAATGGGTCCAGCAACCCCATCGGAGTGTTGGGAGCCCGCTCGTTGTACGGTGGCTCATCTTGACCCTGAGTTTTGCCCTTCCCGTGCCCACCTCAAATCGCGTCTTTCATTGCAAGGTGATCCCCACCTTTCAGCGTCGTCAAATCCATTCGCTCCCATTTCCTATGGCAGCTACTCGCTGCTTGCCTCCGTCATTTTCTCAGGGCTCCCACCCCAGCACCCGCTGTGATTTCTGGGACCTGGGCCTTTTGACCTCGTCCAAGAACACCCTCCTTCTCCACTACTCACTTGCTTTTGTTCAGAGCTTACCCTTCAACCTTCAGAAACTTCTCAGAGGAAGCTTTTTGTAACTACCCACCTGGGTTTTGGTCATTCGTTCATACATTCATTCCCTCAACCCTTAACCTACATGATGGTGCAGAGGCCACAGCTACAGCTGGAGAAGCAGAAACTTACTTCATTGATAGAAAAACAAAACCAAAAACAGTGGGGCAAGAGGAACAATCTTAATTTGACTGAAATTCCAGTTGGCCCCTCCTCTCCATGCCCCACATGAACTCTACACGGTTTCTTCCCAAACATGTTTCTAGGGGTCAAAAATGATTTTTTTCTGTTCCATGTGGAATCTGAACATAAGGTATCAAGATGATAGTTTTCAAATACGGTAAAAAAAAAAAAAAAGTTATTTATTTATTGACAAGTTCAATACAGGTTGCTGTAGACTGGAGCATTGGTTGTTTACTAGAGCTGGTTGTTCTAATAAAACCCTCTCCCCGAGCTCTCCAGGTCACCCCTAAGGCATTTCTAAGGAGGAAGAGAATTATTCTGTTACCTCAAGTCCAGTTTCCTTTCACTCGACTTGTAATCACAGAATGCTGTCTCACAAGGGATTCATCTATAGGGTCCAGGTCTTTCACTTTACATGTGGAAAAGGCCCAAAGTGTCGACTGAGTGACTTGCCTACAGTCACATAGCTGGTTAGTGGCAGAGCAGACACAGTGATCAAGGTCGCCAGGTATGACAGAGCAGGAGGGTCCTGCGTTACATAGCAGCCCTTTACAAGCACCTGTGGAATCTTGACCAATCAGTTCTTCTCTCTGGACCACAGTTTCCTCCTCTGTGCAGGAGTCTAACAATCCTCATCCATCTCATGGGTTACTGTGAGGTCGTGTGATCAGGGCTGTGGAAGGGCTTTGTAAACTGTAATAATAACCAATACATAAGAAGAATGAACAGTTCTGGAACTCTTTTCATGTGCCAGGCACAGTTTTAAGTCCTCCATGTGAGGTAATCTCTATTATTTCTCCATTTTGCAGGTGAGGAAACTGAGACACAGTGGAACCTAACTTCCCAAGGTCACCCAGCTAGTAAACTGTGAGCCGAGATTCCACCTCCAGAGTCTGTGCTCCAGCTGGCTACACAAACTGAGTCTGTGGCTGACTGTATCATTCCTTGGCCCTCCACCAAAAAGGGCCGTAAACTACCTGTGTCCTTCATCTCATTCTTTTTCCCCCTTGGTCAGTGGCTCCCTTGTCTGATTGTACCCATTCAGTAGCTGGATGTGCCCGAGGAGTGGCCCATCTCCCAGTAGTTCCGGTAACAGTCATCCTATCAGAGACCTGGAGAAATACCCTTTTGGGGTCACCTGTTTGTTAGGCAGCGTGATCCCTTGGCACCTGACACATCCCAGTTGAGTCTGAGTGTCTTCATCTCGAGGCAGCGGGACTTCAACCAGGTCCACAAAGAAGCAAACAGCTTCTACCTGAGAGCAGAAGAGTGGAGAGATGACAGACCCTCTGGCCCGCCATTTCCGTGGTTGAGAGTTGGGGTGATAAGAAATGTTGGCAGATGCCAAAGAGGGACGTAGTCATTTTCCCCATGCTTAGCCCTGCCTATGTCATGCTTTTTTTTTTTTTTTTTTTTTTTGCCCCACCACATGCTTTTTGATTTAAATTTCAAACTTATTGTTTGGGCGCATGAGATGTTACTATGGTTTTTTTTTTTTTTTTTTTTTGGCCACACCACACAGCATGCGGGATATTAGTTCCCTGACCAGGGATCTGACCCATGCCCCCTGCATTGGAAGCATGGATTTTTAACCACTGGACCACCAGGGAAGTCCCTATGCCTGTGTCATGCTGAGCCTTGCTGGAGGGTGCTTTCTCTCGTTCCTTCTTTAATTATTTAACTGGACTGTTTAACCCATTTACATTTATTGTGATTTCTTTTTTTGGTAACAACTTCATTGAGATATAATTCACATATCATACAATTCTCCCACTTAAAGTATACAACCATCACCACAATCAATTATAGAACATTTTCATAACCTTAAAAAGAAACCCCATATTGTATTCTTTGGCTATCACTCCCCAACCCTCTCATTCCCCCAGCCTTAAGCAACCACTAATAATTTACTTTCTGTCTTTATAGATTGGCCTATTCTGGACATTTCATATAAATGAAATCATATACTATGTGGTCTTTTTTGTCTGGCTTCTTTCACTGAGCATAATGTTTTCAAGTTCACCCATGTTGTAACATGTATTAGTACCTCATTCCTGTTTATGGACAAATAATATTCCAGTGTTTGGATAGACCACATTTTGTTTACTTATTCATCAGCTGATAGACATTTGGATTGTTTCTACCTTTTGGCTGTTATGTTTTCATTTCTTTGGGTATATATCTAGGCGTGGAATTGCTGTGTCAAATAGTAACTCTGTATTTAACCTTTTGAGGAATTGCTAGACTGTTCTAAAGTGGCGGCATTATTTTATTTTCCAGCAACGGTGCAAGAGGGTTTTGATTTCTCCACATCCTTGCCAATACTTGTTATTATTACCTGTCCTTTTGATTATAAGCATCCTAGTATGTGGGAAGTGATATCTCGTGGTTTTGATTTGCATTTCCCTAATGACTAATGATGTTGAGCTTCTTTTCATGTGCTTATTAGACATTTCGATATCTTCTTTGGAGAAATGTCCATTCAAATAATTGCCCAGTTTTTAATTGGGTTAAATTGCCAAATCCAAGGTCATGAATATTTATCCCTATGTTTTCGTCCAAGAGTTTTGTGGTTTCAGCTCTTGCATTTAGTCTTTGGTCCACTTTGAGGTAGTTTTTGTATGTGGTGTGAGATAAGGGTACAAATTATTTTTTGTTTGTGGCTATCCAATTTTCCCAGCATCTTTTGTTAAAGAGGCTATTCTTTCCTATTTAATTGTCTTGGCACCCTTTTTGAAAATCCATTGACCTTAGATGTATGGGTTTATTTCTGGTGTCTCAATTCTATTCCAATGATTTAGATGTCCATCCTTATTCCAGTAGCACACTGTCTTCATTACTTTTTTAGTAACCTTTGAAATAGGGAACTGTGAGTCCTTCAACTTTGTTCTTCTTTTTTAGGATTGTTTTTGTGGTTCTGAATCACTGGAATTCTCATAGGGATTATGTTGAATTTATGGATCAGTTTGAGAAGTATTGCCATCTTAATAATATTAAGTCTTCCATTCCATCGACATGGAGTAAATAAATTCCATTTATGTAGGTCTTTAATTTCTTTCAATGATCTTTTGCTGTTTTCAGAGTGGAAGTTTTACACTTCTTTTATTAAATGTATTCCCAAGTATTTTATTCTTTATGATGCTATTGTAAATGGAATTGCTTTTTAATTTTATTTTTGGATTGTTCATTGCTGGTGTATGGAAATACAGTTGAATTTTGGATCTTATATCCGGCAAGCTTACTGAACATGTTTTTTAGCAGATATCTTAGAATTTTCTACACGCCAGATCACGTCACATGTGAATAGAGACAGCTTTACTTCTCCCTTTCCAATCTGGGCGCCTTTTCTTTCATTTTTTTGCTGGGGGCATTTTTACAGGTTTATTACAGATTTCCCGCAGGGAGCTTTCTTCACAGGGCAGGCTGGGCGGCTGCTGAGTGTCTGGATGAAAGGGGCAGGCAGACCCTGTTTGACTCAGGACAGTTAAGACCCTGCAGTTCATCTACATCCATATTCCTCTCACATTGCTTCACACAGCTAAGGTTTTTTTAAACACACATCTTTAAAGAACTAAGAAAACTTCTATGAATATGATTAATGATGTGAAAATATGTTTACCTCAGGAATACTTAAAGCAACCACTCTTTTTTTGTTTTAATTAATATTTATTGGAGTAGAGTTGATTTACATTGTTGGGTTAGTTTCTGCTGTACAGCGAAGTGAGTCAGTTATACATATACATACATCCACTCTTTTTTAGGTTCTATTCCCATGTAGGTCATTACAGAGTACTGAGTAGAGTTCCCTACTCTACTAATAACTAATAAGGACAGTAGGTCCTTATTAGTTCTCTAGTGTGTATATGTCAATCCCAATCTCTCAGTTTATCCCTGCCCCCCTCCTTTCCCCCTTGGTAACTGTAAGTAAAGTGGCCACTATGATTCAGTTCTGCATAATGCAGAGCTTCCCTCTACCCCAGTTTTCTGCTCCCCTAACATCCAGGAATGTCCGTGTCAAAGGTATATCATATCTGTGTATTTTTTTCCTGTTTTGATTTCTCCATGGTTTTGCAGCAGAAACACACACGGGAATATGGAAAAATCTTCAAGTCTCACTTTGGTCCTCAGTTTGTAGTATCTGTTGCAGACCGAGACCTGGTGGCTCAGGTGCTCCGGGCAGAGGGGGCCGCGCCCCAGAGAGCCAACATGGGGTCCTGGCAGGAGTACCGAGACTTACGGGGCAGATCCACCGGGCTCATCTCCGCGTGAGTATGTGAGGCCAGGTTGAGACACGAGCAGGAGTGGGGATCCCAGGGGCGCCCCCCCGTCCCTGAACGCTGGGCTCCTAAAACCGGCTATTAATAAAGCACAGAACTCCCAGTGGAGTAGTATCAAAAGAGCCTCACGTGTGATCTCCCCAAATCTCCTAAAACCCTCTGGGAAGAGATTTGGTGGCAGGGACAAGGTGGGGATCCCACTAGCCGAGTGATGGAGAGGAGCCATTTTTCAAGGAACGCTTTGTGGCTTTAGGTGTCCACTCGGTGACCACTGAGGGGGCTGAAGCTCACAGAGCCCATCTGTGGACAGGGGTGAGGGTGGTGAGCTGTTTTAGGAGACCTCCAGGAGGGACTATGAACTTCAGCATTGATCGCCATGTGATGATGTTCCTGCCTTATAACAGACTATGGTTATTATACACCTTTGTGTCTTCCAAGAGTGAATCGGTACAGCCTCAGGTAGGGAGGAGAAAACAGAGCATCTGCAGATCCCCTGGTCCAAATCCCTTTGGTTTAGAAATTCTATTTTTGGCTCTTTTGGTATACATGTCCTTACACATGAACTGGGGAGTAATACCATCACTCCCCTCTCTTTGAAGTGTCTGTCCTGTCTTCATCCCATTTGGACTGGCAGATCTTGTTGACTCTTTATTGCTGGGAAATTTTTGCAGAGATACTCTGAATTCCTTCCTAGAATATCACTATAAGTAAGATTATTTGGAATTCACTTTATTCTAGGGAGGGTGAACAGTGGCTCAAGATGAGAAGTGTGTTGAGACAAAGAATTCTGAAACCGAAAGATGTGGCCATTTTTGCAGGAGAAATCAACCAAGTTATTGCTGATTTAATTAAAAGAATCTACTTCCTCAAGAGCCAGGCAGAAGATGGGGAGACTGTGACCAACATCAATGACCTTTTCTTCAAATATTCAATGGAAGGTAGGTGAACTCAGGAGGTGGGGAAGATGGAAGAATGGACATTTTACCAAAATATGGTGGTTATCACTCATTGAGCATCTCCTGTGTCCCAGACAATGTGCTAAGCCCCATACATACGTACATGTAATTGTCACAGTGCTAATGGAACCAGGTTGACTGACACTGTTTTACAAATGGGGGAACTGAAAAACTAACCCCCATTTTTAGTGGCAGAAACTTAGTTTCAAATTGAGGTCTCTCTAACTCAAGAACCATGCTCCTAATTGCTACACATTTTGTTTTAGCATAGTTTAAAAAGCAACAGGAGTCTAGAGGGCATGTACTACAATCATCCTAGCTTTTAAAATCCATGTTAGATGGGTAGCACATTCCCATGGTTCAAAAATCAAACCCAAAAAGTACTCATGGAAAAGCCTCCCTCTCTCCTGACCCAGCTAGGTCACCAGCTTCTTCAAGGGATATTTTATGTACATAACAAAGAAATATGAGTATGAGTGTGAGTATTCTTTTTACTTAAAAAAAAATCGATAGCATACCAAACATTTTTTCTGTACCTGGGTTTTTGGAGAATTCTATTAGCTTTCCCATTTTTATTTTTATTTATTTATTTATGGCTGCATTCCGTGTGCTGTGTGGAACTTCCGTGACCAGGGATGGAACCTGTGCCCCCTGCAGTGGAAGCGCGGAGTCTTAACCACTGGACCACCAGAGAAGTCCAGATTTCCCATTTAAAAAAAAAAAAAAGTTTCTTCAAATTTATGTTAACTTTTTAAAGTTCTGGTATTAATGCTCTCTAAAAATAGTAACAAAATCAACAGAGAAGTGAGTTGTAAACACACTGAAAAATCCTGCCCTTCCCTGGTTCACAGAGGCCCTTTCCTCTGCCCCCTTAGCTCGTCCTGGGGCTCCCCGAAGTGTGGCCAGGAGGAGCCACCTTTCAACTCCTCAAAGTTGGGCAACTGGCTGAAAGGTTGGGAGTTTTGCCTTGTGGGTCTTGAACAGACTGTTGAGCTGAGGGCGCGCTGAGGCAGAGTGTTCATCAGCATTGAACCCACAGCGCCCTGGGGGTCTGGACCTGGTAGAGAAAACCTCAGGGGTAGGCACCTGGATCACTTCTTTTTTTAATTTTTATTTTTTTGGCTGCACTGCGAGGCTTGTGGGATCTTAGTTCCCCGGCCAGGGATGGAACCCAGGCCCCCTGCAGTGGAAGCTAGGAGTCCTAACCACTGGACCGCCAGGGAAGTCCCTGGACCACTTTTGAAAGTTACATTTATGGCCAGGTATCGTATGTTGATGCTGTGAATAATCTAGAAGAAGAAGAAGAAGGGTTGTAACCTCTCTTCCACGCAGGAGTGGCCACCATTCTTTACGAGAGTCGTCTGGGCTGCCTGGAGAACAGCGTGCCGCAGGCGACGATGGACTACATCGAGGCCCTGGGGCTCATGTTCTGCATGTTCAAGACGTCCATGTACGCCGGTGCCATCCCTAGGTGGCTCCGCCCGCTCATCCCCAAACCCTGGCGGGAATTCTGCAGGTCCTGGGATGGACTCTTCAAATTCAGTAAGAGAAGAGTCAGGGCACCTTTTGTAGAATCAGATGGACCTGACTTTCCTCCTAGTTGTGTATCTAACACTCACGCAGACAGTGGTATTACTGTAGGGGATACCGCAATGGAGTTACGTGCTATTTGGACTCAAGAACTTTTAGATTGGTTTCTCGAATGAGCAAAAAGCACATTGTGGGTTGTGGGTTGTGACCACAAGTAATGTGACAGATTTCTCACTTTTTAAAAAAATAAATTTAATTAATTAATTTATTTATTTATTTATTATTTTTGGCCTCATTGGGTCTTTGTTGATGCGCGCGGGCTTTCTCTAGTTGTGGCGAACAGGAGCTACTCTTTGTTGCAGTGCACAGGCTTCTCCTTGCGGTGGCTTCTCTTGTTGCGGAGCATGGGCTCTAGGCATGCGGGCTTAATAGTTGTGGGACGTGGGCTCAGTAGTTGTGGCGTGCAGGCTCAGTAGTTGTGGCATGTGGGCTCAGTAGTTGTGGCTCACGGGTTCTAGAGTGCAGGCTCAGTAGTTGTGGTGCACGGGCTTAGTTGCTCCGCGGCATGTGGGATCTTCCTGGACCAGGGCTCGAACCTGTGTCCCCTGCATTGTTGGGTGGATTCTTAACCACTGCGCCACCAGGGAAGCCCTGAAGAGGCGATTCTTAACCAAAACTTCTTTCAAAAGAAACACTGTTTTCAAACAGGCCAAATTCACGTTGACAACAAGCTGAGGGACATACAGTGCCAAATGGACCGAGGGGAGAGAGCGAGAGGGGGCCTGCTCACGTACCTCTTCCTCAGCCAGGAGCTGACACGGGAGGAAATCTATGCCAACATGACCGAGATGCTGCTGGCCGGCGTGGACACGGTGAGCTCTCAGCTTTCCTTTCTTCTCAGCAGAGCACAGTTAAAGCTGGGGGCCTTTCCGAGGAATCCGACAGATGGCAGATACTTTAAGAGGACCGTGCTTGTTTGTACTAGCTGAACGTCTGCTTCACTGCTGAGGGTCTCCAGGAGAAAACTCGACCTTTTTTCTTTTCTTTAATATAAACTAAGGTGCACGATGAATTCTGTAAATAACATAACCCAATTCTATTACCACACACACACAAAGTAGCAATATGTTTTAAAGTTTAAAATCATTCCTGACTTGCAAACATTTCTCCATTGTTTCATAATATCAGAAATGAAGGGACTTCCCTGGCGGTCCAGTGGTTAAGACTTCGCCTTTCAGTGCAGCGGGTGCGGGCTCGATCCCTGGTCGAGGAGCTAAGATCCCCTGTGCCTTGCGGCCAAAAATTCAAAACATAAAACAGAAGCAGGAGTGTAACAAATTCAATAAAGACTTTAAAAATAGTCCACATCAAAAAAATCTTAAAAAACAAAAAAGAAATGAAAAGGGCACAGACATTAAAAACCCTCTTACTTATCATTCAAAATATTCTGGGCTATGGAGAACTTCCCAGTTCATTTGATAAAGTCGGCATAACTTCAAAACCTGCTAAAGAAAGCATAAAGAAAGAAAAGTTTAATAAGCAGTTTGACTTATGAATATGTACATATATCAATTTTAAATCCTAGTGAATAGATTCAGTTAGTGTAGCAGATGAATAATACACTATGACCAACGAGGGCTCAATATCAGAATGAAACAAAGCATTGCCCATTGATTTGGAGGGAATTCCATACCCTATTACTAAGTGAGAAATGAAGATGCAGAAAAGCGTGTATATCCTGTGTTTCCGTTAGTAAAACAGTGGCCCCCATCCCATCTGTCCGTGTGCACGTGTGTATTGCTAAGTGATTGCTGGACGTGGAGGAAAGTATGGAGCTGCACCCTGGACGGTTAACATGGGTTCCTGGGCTGGGGCGGGGCTGGTACAGGGGTGTGGAAGCCAAGTTCCTTCCAAAAACTTATGTATAATCTGATACATTTACTCAAGTATAAAAAATGGTATATTTGTGGGTATATGTACAGAAAAAGTTTAAAATTTGCTAAAAGAAAGTGGTGAAATAAGAAAAAGAAGGGCCAGGCTTTTGGTAAGTGGTGGAAGAAAAGTCAGTTGAGTGAAATAATTAAGATTAAGACAGTAAATTTGGTGATTTACTGTGTCTCCAACGCACATCTGTAAGCACCCTTCTGTTCACACGGAATCCTCTGAGGTAGGTGTTACTGTCTTCATTTAACAGGTGGGAAAATGAAACAGCTAAGCTTGCCTCAAGGTTTTTCCTTCACAGGAGTGCTTCCCGGACTTAAGGAAAGCACAAATCTCCTTTTTAGAGGTAGACAAAAACCCCATGGTTGACATTTTTATTATGAAGTCACTTAAACAGGTAAAAGCAAAAAAACTTCACATAAAGTCATTATTCTTATGGATCATCTTCAACAATAAAGCAAAAAGTATATAAATTAAATACAAACTAATCAATGCGGACAATGCAAGCGATGAAAGTTCTGATTAACCGTGTGAATGTGACAGTGTGGGTTTGCTTGAGTGGAGAAGCAATGATGGAATGAACGGCCTTGTATCTAAGCTGATTCAGATGCATGCTACTGTTGCCCCCTGGTGGTAACTAAGAGCATCACCGTGAGATGGAGGGAAGAGAGGACTCGTTCCTACGTGAAGGGAACATCTTGAAACTTCACGCTCATTTTCTAAAATGTTATTTTAAAAAGCCAACTTCATTGCAGCATAATTTATGCACAATAAACTGCATCCATTTAAACGGTACAATTCGATACAGATTGTTGACTGATACAGGATAAGCACAGATGCAATCATTTTTGAAACCAGCACTGCAGTTAAGATCCTGGACGTTGCTACCACCTCTGCAAGTTCCTCACCCCCATTTCAGTCCATCCCTCCCATAACCCCTGCCCCCCCAATACACACACATGAGGCATTTTATCTTTTTTTAATTAATAGAATTAGTTTTAAAGAACTGCTTTAGGTTCACAGCATAACTGAGTGGAAAGTACGGAAGGTTCCCCCCCCCCCCCCCCCCCCCCCCGGCAACCGCCTTCTGACACTGTGTCATAACAGTTTGCATTTTTCTAGAAATCAGTTTGCATTTTTCTAAAAATTTATATAAATGGAATTATATGTATGTATTTTGTTATGTATGTATGTATTTTGTGTCTGGCTTCCTTCACTCAGCAAAATGATTTTGAAATTCGTGGATGTTGTTGCCTGTAAAAGTAGTTTATTGTTTTTTATTACTGGACAGTATTCCATTGTATGGCTCTACCACATTTGGTTTTTCCATGAATATGTGATTTTAATAGAAATTTTCTGTTCTCTTCATAGGAAGCATCAAAATTATTTCCTTATCATTTATAAGGAAGAACTTGCACATTACATTGTATATTACAGGAGAGCTTGCCCTCTAAAAATACATAATATCTATTAGAGGGAAATAACATCAATATGGCCTACTTAAGTTAGATTTTTTTAGATGAAAGAAAGGGCACTTATACGGTGGAATTTCGTTGTTTACAAGAGAGTGAACTACAGTCACATAGGTAATAGTATTGATTTTCATGAAAATCTTGGAATCTAGGTTATAAAATAGAATTATTTATTCTCAATAACCAGAAATGTAATTCTTCAGTTTAGGAAGTGGTATAAACAATGATACTGCTTTGTGCAAATGCCATTCAATCCTTATATGGTGCTTTGCTTGATAAGTGCATGGGAACAATGATGGACCAGTAATAGTCCTGTGACCACCACCTCCCATCCCTCTCTCCCCCATCTCTTCTAGATTAGGGCAACCAGAGCAGCCCTTGCCCAGCCATGGGCCTGCAGGATGCAGTTCTCAGGCTGATGGGCAGCCTCAGGTCCTTTCTAGCAAAACTCAGGTGACCCTTGTAGAGAAGGTCGAAGAAAGTTCTAGGCACAACTTCCAGGCTTGACCAGCATTCCTACGTGCTCTCAAACTCCACGGAAGAAGAGGCAGATTGTTCTTCAATGATTTTTAAAAGTTCCAAAATAATTTTTCCTGTGGCTCTTCATTGAAAGAGCGCTTGAATCCCATCGTTGATGTTACTTTCCAAAAATCTCTGTTAGTTTTTTTCCAGGAGGAGTTAAGGGAGATCATCTTTTGTTTCAGTAAGACATAAAATGCTCCGATGGACTTATATGGGTGTGGCTTTGCACCTGTGCTTATTCTCCCATGACTTCACGTTCGATGTTGCCTGCGCCTGAAATCCTTGATTTCACTCACCCACGTGCCTGTGTCTGCCGGTTTCTTTATTAGACATCGTTCACGTTGTCCTGGGCAGTGTATCTCCTCGCGAGGCACCCGGAAGTGCAGCAGACCGTGTACCGGGAGATAGTGAGGAATCTGGGGGAAAGGCATGTTCCCATGGCTGCAGACGTCCCCAAAGTCCCACTGGTCCGAGCTCTGCTTAAGGAAACCTTGAGGTAAAAGGCTCACCAAAATTCATGTCAAAAACCATGTCCATTAATTCTCTGATTCTTTATCACAATGAATGTGCTTTTGACTTAGAAACTGGGTCCTAAACCAATACTCCAGCGACCCTCGGTGGCAGAAATGTTTAGGAAGGAGGGACTCATGACCATTTTATTTCCTCTCTGCCCTCGACAGAGCAGCAGAAAGGCTATTCTGTTTTACAGTTGGAAATATTCATAAAATCTTTAGAGCCATCCTCGAACTTTGTACTCACTCTAGACATTTGTTTCATCAACTGTTTCCCAGTGTGCTCCTCTGGGGATAAAGCAGAACAGGATTGACTGTCAGGAAAATGTTCTGGGCTGAGTGGCCAGTTACTAGACGTGCTTACTGTGCTCCTTGTGTGAATGTCTAGTCAAGGTGGAGACACCAAGTAGTGAGGCTTGTTTACTTCCGGACAGGACTTTACTGACCCTGGGAAACGCCGGAGCGTGAGGGATACGGGTGGTCTTGGGCAGGCTTGGGTGGGAGGTGGGATTAGGTGACTAGTGAAGTTTCTTCCTCCTGTGAGGCTCAGGATCGTGACCACACCATTCCTCTCTGGAGGAAATGCCGTGACACGGAGCAAAGGTTATTCACAGAGCACACACTAAAATAATGCTTTTAAACCTGACTCGATAATGATATTTCAAGTTGGCTTGCATCTTCCATCTTCATCATGCTGTTTAATCTCAAAAAAAAAAAAAAAGAAGAGAGAGAGAGAGAGAGAGAAAGAAAGAAAAAAGCCAGCTGTGTGATAACTGGTATTTGTCAATTAAAGTTTATTCAGTTGGGCTTCCCTGGTGGCTCAGTGGTTGAGAGTCTGCCTGCGGATGCAGGGGACACGGGTTTGTGTCCCGGCCGCTGATCCTGCGCGTCCGGAGCCTGTGCTCCACAACGGGAGAGGCCACAGCAGTGAGAGGCCCGTGTACCGCAAAAAAAAAAAAAGTTTATTCAGAGTTTTCGTAGGATCACTTCCCAGAGAATCCAAAAACTGATGTAGCATTTCTCAGAATCTATTTCTTGGAGCCCTGAGTCCTATGAACTATTCCTTGATAAAGGGGTCCCATGCTTGCATAGATTTCAGAAATTCAGCATCATTCCTTCTGGGACTTGCCCAGTGGTACAGTGGTTGAGAATCCGCTTGCCAGTTCAGGGGACACGGGTTCGATCCCTGGTCGCGGAAGATCCCACATGCTGTGGAGCAACTGAGCCCGTGTGCCACAACTACTGAAGCCCGTGCGCCTAGAGCCCGTGCTCCGCAACAAGAGAAGCCACCACAATGAGAAGCCCACGCACCTCAACAAAGACCCAACACAGCCAATAAATAAATAAATTTATTAAAAAAAAAAAGAATTATTCCTCTTGGGAGCACAGTAGCATTTTAAAGGCTTTGCTTTGTGTTCTATAAATTTTTTTTGACTGTGAGGCCCCAGAATACTTGCTGGGCAAAGCTAGGGAGCTCATGAAGATCCTTGTAAGATTTCCTGGTTGAAACTGTACCATGTGTTACGTTTTAGAAAATGAAAATGGCAATATATCCAGACTTTTAAATGTTTAGTAACATTTTGAAAGTCACCGCTCCCTTCCCGTCCCCGTTGGCTCTTTCTAGGCTGTTTCCAGTGCTGCCGGGGAATGGCCGGGTCACCCAGGAAGACCTGGTTGTTGGCGGGTATCTGATTCCCAGAGGCGTGAGTTTGGCGGACATGGCGGGGCTGGGCTGAGCAGGGGCGGTTGGATTGGAAATTTGCTTCCATGTTTCGGATGTCCCTGTACCTAAGCAAATACCTGTATATGTCCTTTTCTTCTGCATATATTTTTATGATGAAGATGAGGCATTATGAGCAAGGAAATGTGGATTGTGTGATACTGCTCTGGCAAAAACAAAGGCAGATATTTCTGTAGCTCACAGGCCTGTTCAACCCTCCCTCCCCCCCAGAGGCCCCATGGAAGCAGCAGTCCCCTCCAGGGAGAGTTTCTGAAGGGCTTGAATTGCCTTCTCTGTGGCTGCATTGATATTCATTCCGGGTAGGGTGTGAATTGAAGGGGAACCTGCCATCCTGGGTCTGCATGGACTCTTGGGCCCTTACATGACTTCTCCTGGCTCGAAGCATCTCTGGAGGGTCGGTCCAGCTGGGGCTGTGGCCTCTGCTCTGCTTTCCCTTGATTAAGTTCTTTATTACTTTTCTGGTGAAAATGGTTTGCTCAGACCCAGCTGGCCCTCTGCCACTATGCCACCTCCTACGAGGATGAGAACTTCCCTCGGGCCAAGGAGTTCCGGCCTGAGCGCTGGCTGCGGCCAGGAAACCTGCGCAGGGTTGACAATTTTGGGTCCATCCCCTTCGGCTACGGGGCTCGAAGCTGCATCGGGCGGAGGATTGCAGAACTGGAGATCCACCTCCTTGTGATTCAGGTAGGGCCTGCGGGCTGGGCTTCATCCAGGTGACTGGGCTCCGTTGCTGGATCAAGACTTAGGTGAAAACAAGGAAACAGGATTTTGAAAACTTTCAGAGCTTCCTGTTAACTCTCTTTTATGTGTTAAAATTCCTCCCCTCCCCCTGTAGCAGCCACCTGTAGCCCCATGGCCACCTGGCTTGTTCCTTTCTTCCTTGTAGTCACATGGGCAGAACTGGGATGTGTGTGTGTGTGTGTGTGTGTGTGTGTGTGTGTGTGTGTGTGTGTGTGTGTAGCAGGGGTGGGTGGTTACAGGAGCCCAAGCACTCCCACAGGGGTTCTGCAGAGAGGCTATTGGAAGGTGTCCAGCAAGCGGCCCTCAAACATTATGGACCATCCCGTCACCAGGAGCCCCTCGAAATCAGGTTCCTGGGCCCCGGCCACAGAGAGAATCGCTTGGTGGGTCTGGGGTGGGGCTCTGGGCGATTCTGTTGTCAGTGGTCCGCGGGCTGCACTCGGTCTAAGGAAGTGCACGTGGTGGGGCACGGGGGATCTCTACTTCTGCTGGTGGCTGCGTCTGCTGTTCAAGCCCCGGCCTCCCAGGCCTCCTTCCTTCAGAGCTTGTCACTGTCACCGTCACCATGGAGGGAGTCACGCTCACCCCCTGATGCCCCCTCAGCACCTCGTTTTCTGTGAATCAGCCTTTTAAACAGGGAGGTCGCTCTCAAGCTTGTTTGGGTTTTTAAACATCGGGAAAGCTTGGTTTTGGTGAGAGAATACCTTCCATGCAAATCTCTAAATGCTCAAGTGTTTACTTCTGCACTTGTCCAGTATCTGAGTTCAGGCTGCAGCAGGCTGCTGAAGGAAATTTCATGAAAGAAAAGCCTGCAGTAGAGAAAATTCTATCCATTAGCCTTTCCTGCAGATTTGGGGAGCCTGCCATGGAAAACCTAGGCCCAAGGTTTGGGAGCTACTGTCATTGACTCCAGGCTTTGGAAGCACGAGGGGATGACCTGGGGACCCATCTCCCCATTTCACTGATGAGGAACTGAGGCTCAGGGAGTTGGAGCCACTTGCCACAGTTGCCGCGTGGCAGGTGCAGGGCACGAGGCACGTGTCCTGTCTCCTGCCTGCATTTCCCCTCATGTCACCGAGGTGTTTCCTGCAGGCCGGCAGAGCCCAGGGCAGTGCACTCAGGGGTTGGGACATTTACTGACGATGGCATCAGAGAGCGTAAGGGATGGGGAAGCCTGGCCGGCCTGTGGGGGATTGTAGGCATGGGAGGCAGGCTCGGAGGGCTGGAGGAGGTGAGGGGCCACGGCCAGGGAGGTGGGTGTGGAAGGGGGCGGGGAGGACACCAGCTGGGCCCACCTGGCTCTGGTGGGAAAACTCTGGGAACCTGGTGAGACCAGCAGAAGCGGGTGCCGGACTGTCCCTCGGTCGTCCCACCTCTGTGGGCACACGAGTGGCTGCAGTCCTCCAAGGCGAGAGTTGTCCCTTCCAGGGCAGCTGTCCCGGGCAGCGGTGGGCCCCATGGACGCTGGTCAGGCCCAGTCATGCCCAAGGTGAGAGGCATCTCCGTGTGGAGGATGGACTCCAACCGCAGCTCTGCCAGTTTGTGGTTCTGACACTGCTGAGCATGTTTCCTCATCCACAAAATGCGCCAAATACCTGCCTTTTGGGTGTGTGAGGAATAAAAATAGTCTAAGCAGAGTCTGTGTTGTCTGCACACCTGCTCTCAGTGTCTGCTCATGGGGACTGTGTTTGGGAAGGTCCTGGCTCCATCAGTGCTGCTGTGTGTTCCACAACCATGTCTCCAACGGGCAGAGGCCATTTCCAGGCAGCCTTTTGGTGGGGCTGACTGCTTCCTGGCTGCTTCCCGCTTCTGACGGTCTGGACAACCATAGCGGTTGCTGAGGGCATGAGGGCACAGATGGTGGAGTGGGGAAAGGGTCAGAAACTGGGTGTTTGGTGGTGATGATGGGGGTTTTATTTGTTTGCTACTATAACACACACGGGTACCTGTTACAGTTCTTGCTTCAAGAGCCCTCATTTCTACTTGCGCAAGTATAGAGAGGGAACATCACTGTTTGTAATTGCCAAGAGGAAAAAAAAAGAAACAGAAGGCACAAATAAACAGTACTAGGAATGAGAAAGGAGACATAGCTACAAGTGCAGTTGATTTTTTTTTAATCAAGAAAATACTGCAAACAGCTTTTTTACCAATACATCTGAAGAGTTAGATAAAATGTATAATTTACTAGAAAAGGTGTAAATTACCCAAATTGACTCAAAAGAAAGTGAACAGACCTTGAATACATTGAGTCAGTAGTAAAAATATCTACCACCAAATGTTCCAGACCTAGACAGTTTTATTGGCAAGTTTTATCAAACCTCCAATGAATGGGTGATCATCATCTTACACAAATAGAAAATGGAAAAAGGAAGTCTTGTTTTTATGAGACTTGTATAACCTTGAGAGTCACAACCCGGAATGGATAAAATAAGAAAGAAAAACTACAGGCCAATCTGATTTATGAGCAAAGATGAAAAATACATTAAATGAAAAATTGGCGAGCCAAATCCAGCAATGTATGAACCAGAAATGCACTGTCACCAAATCAGGTTTGTTCAGGAATGCAAGGATGGCCCACCTCAAGACAGAATTCACCACAATGACAAATTAAGGGGGAAAAACTTTATGACTCTCTCCCAAAATAATTGATAAAATTCAACACCCATTCATGAAGAAACTCTCTTAGCACACCTGTAATGGAAGGGCTTTCCTTAAGCAAATAAAGAGTGTCTATCCCAACAAAACAGCGACTTATGCCTGTGGCCTATGGGAAGGGAAGGTTTGGCTTTAGTGCTGCAATATTAATGTGTTTCTTTGAAATCAGGAACAAGACTTTCATATTGCATGGAGAATGGTTAGAAGATACACCCTTGCTCCTTGGGAACTGGAGACTTGAGGTGGAAGGGGGGCCTTGTTTTTTGGCTTTTACATCTCCTGTGTAGTTTTCATTTTTCAATGAGCATATACTGCCACTCAGAAAGGAAAAAGGCCCTGTGGGATGTTGGCCATGGATTGAGGAGACCTGTGTGTGATTCTTTCCTCTGCCACATGAGAATGCGCGAGCAGTCCTGTGAGGTCAGAACAAAGGGTGAGAGATTAGATGTTGAGGTGAAGGCATCTCGATGCCAGAATGTTCTAGAGCTGGTCATTCAGCTTGGCTCTATAACAATGACAAAGTAATGATTTTAGCCTGTGTCTTCAGTGCAGCCCTGCTCCCTGCCTGACCTCCACCCCCAGAGCCCCAGCTCACCCAGAGGACCCATCAGTGGGTCTTGCTGCTTTACCTGGGAGACCAGGCTGGAGAGTCAGGGTGGGCTGGGGCGTTTGCATCCCATGTGACAATATAGGTTCTCCAGCACTGATGCTCTCTTAGGAGGTTGGAGCAGGGGAGGGATGAATGGCTGGTCTGCTAACCTGCACTGTCCCCACTGGCCCTTGAGCAAGGCCCTGCCTCCCCTCCAGGAACCAATGTAGTTTTGACAGAGGTCCTTAGAGCAGGTTGCCTTTTGTTCTCTAAGCCTAGAGGTGACTTTGAAAATCAAGCCTTGGCCATTTGGTGGGGAGATTAGTGCTTGAGGCTGACAGATACTTAAGTTTTCTTTAAAACTTCCCAGTTTCACCCTGAGAGGTAGGGCTGCTTCTCCTTTTGAACTGCAGAAGTGAGAAATGGAATCAAAGGTGCAAATGAAGAATATTTAAATTAAAGACAGTAATGGATAAAGTCTGACAGCTGTGCCCCTGCTGTGTCTGTACCACCACTGAAGTGGCTGCAGATTCCAAACCAGCAGGAACCCTGGAATTTCACTTTGTTCCCCTTTCCTCCTTGCTCCTTTGATTCCTTCTTTTTCTAGACCTACAGCGGAAGTAATACAGTTAGAACTTTGAACTAGCTAATAAAGTGTAAGTCATTTGAACATGTTACTGAACAAAGGTCATGTGCCTGACGCACAGTGAGGCCAAACAAACCAGAATGTCGGAGTTTCAAGCAGAGAAAGGTTTATTGCAGGGCCAAGAAAGGACATGGGTGGCTTATGCCCCCCCAAACCCTGAACTCCTTGATGGTTTGTGGGGAGAAATTCTGATTGCGTATCTTTGTCCCATGGGCCTTGTTGCTCAGTGGGCATGCTGGGCTCCTGTATAGGACCTGACGCCCTGTTTCCCACATCTCTCATTCCCTCGGCTCCCTGCAGCTGGGGCTGTCACAGGAGTATGGGCACTCCAGCAGTGCTGTGAATTTTCTGCTTCCCAATTTTGAAGTCCTTCTCTCTCTTTCTCTTCTTAGTTGCTTCAACGTTTTGAGATCAAAATATCTCCTTGGACTAAAACTGTTCATGCAAAAACCCATGGGCTTCTGATGCCAGGGGAGCCCATCCACGTGCGTTTTGTTAACAGAAAGTGAGCCTGGCGTTTTCACCCAGCTGCCAGACTGACACACACCAGGTGTTCGTGGGCCACGGATAATGGTGGGGGAGAAAAGGATCCCTTCTGGGGGCTGTCTTATGAATTGGCCTCCTGATTTCTGGGAGACTTTGAAATCATTATGCAAAGTAATGTGAGAAGATTGCTTTACTTTTGCATACCAGAGTTGCCTTTTTTTTTTGGAGAAACAGCTGTTGCAAAGCCAGTGGCACTGAATTCTCATGCCTCATATGGTGTCTTACCCTTGGACTCACTATTCACTTACCCATAGTCTCCTCTGCATTTGGGCCAGGAAATGTTGGCGTACATACAGATTCAGTGCTTGAATATACCTTCTCTAATACTGCATCCGGGGCTGCCTGTTAGGATACAATTCCAACTTCTTGTTTTTAATTTGAAGAGGAAACATTAAGAGACCTCTGTAGAACAGACCTGTGGTTGCCAGGGGGGAGGTGAGGTGAGGGAGGGAAGGATTGGGAGTTCGGAATTAGCTCTGTAGCACAGGGAACTATATTCAATATCCTGTGATAAACCATAATGGAAAAGAATATGAAAAAGAATGTATATATGTATAACTGAATCACTTTGTTACATAGCAGAAATTATCACAACACTATAAATGAGCTACAATAAAATAAATTAGAAAAAAAAAAGGAATGCCTCTCTAATACCATAATTACGGGGAGAAAACACCCAGGCAACACCAAGCCCCAGATTTAGATCCTGCAGCAGGGCTCCGAATTAAAAGGACCATATTCTTATTTTTTTCTCCAAACTAATATTTCTTTTTCTAGTCATAGCTCCTAAAGAAGTTGAATATTAGTTTTTTGGTTTGAAAGAAATAATCAATAAGAAATAAAACTCCTGGGGAAGTCAAGAATAATCAGATTTTCTAACCGAATCTAAGTATTCAGCAGATGTATAAGAACTGAAAATCTGAGCACGTGAAATTTCATTGCCTACATTGAGAAAAATGAATTAAACAAACACTGTGGAAAACAGTGTAACTTTAGAACATTTTTATTTCAAGGAAAAATAAATATGTAAATGGACATTCTCTACACAAAATCATATTTTTATCTTCATAGTCTTATTTTAAATATCCAAACTGCAAATGTGATCCAGCTGTTGGTGCTGACATAAGGCTCTGACTGAATGCCTCGGGTGCCTAGGAGCCTTCGAATGTTCTGTTGCTCAGCTCATGCCACCTGTTGGTCGCTAGTAAAAAACACAATTTTATAATATTTACTCTGTGCCTTCATGCTTGAGACCTCGTAGTCTCAATTCCATAAGTCTCTTTACATAATCCTTACCCTTAAATCACTTTCCTACGAATATATACCATAAATCTTTCTTCCCCTCTTTAGTTGGTCATTCTGCAAAGTAATCCTTAAACAAAATAGAAATAGTATCAATTTCACATACCATTTTTGTTTGAGTATATACAGCGTGATGACGGAATAACTTTAGTGTGAGTGCTGTAAAAATATGTAGAGTTAAATATGAAATTATGTCATGAACTGAAAAAATGTTGGATTCCTTTGAGTTAGCAGTATATATATTAAATTTTATAAACTAGATACAATTTTATTTTGTTTGAGACTAAAATTTAAAAATATTGAGACACCAGGAAACTTGAGGTGAACTCTTATTCTACAAGGTGACTCTCTAGTGATGTGTGGCCCTGCCCAGGGATGGGCACAGACAGGTGGGTCGCACCTGTGCCCACCTCTTGGTCTCCACAGACAGAGAGAGAGGCAGCCAGACCTTAGGAGCCTCCTGGTGTGACCAGCGGGACGTGCATGGCACCAACTGTGAAGCATTCTTGCCAAAGAAAGTGAAATCGGATCAGTTAAGTCTCTAGATCCACCAGTTTATGGGAAATACAGGGTATAGAGGGGCATGTTAAAATTCCATGCAGATGCAATCAGCAAAATCCAGCCCACAGCAAAGTCTACAGGACAAATAACTTTTATTTCCCCAACAAATAAGTGACAAGAAAAAAGAAAAAGAAGAAGGGGGAACTGTTATAGATTAAGAGATTTAAAGGATAATTAGGGAAATTTGAACAATGTGTATTTGATGATATTAAGGGATTATTGTTGTTACAGTAACAAGAGAGATCTTATCTCTTGGAGGTCTTCCTTAAAGATATAAATATGTAATGTTTATGGATGGAATGTTATGATATCTTGGATTTGCTTTAAAAAAAACCCAGCTTGCTGTGGAGGGTGGGTAATGTGTGTGTGTGTTGGGGGGGGGGGGACTGGGGGAGGAAAAGATGAACCAAGATTGGCCCGATGTTGATAAGTGTAGAAACTGGGTGATGGGTACCTGGAGGATTCATGCCTCCATTCTCTGCTTTGTGTCCATGTGAATGTTTCCATAATAAAAAGTGTCTTCAAAAACCAAAGACTTGATTGACTAGTAATCTCATAGTTCATTTCTTTTTTAAACTGTTTACAAACCAGCAAAACTGACTGTAAATTAGGTTCTTCAGGGAGCTATACCTTCTCTTTCAATAACTGTTAGAAACCATCGATTTAACTACCTAAAGTACAATTGCTGTGCTCAGATTTGAGTGACCTGCCAGACGGGTCAGCTAGCCCTCTTAGCTGAGAAGCCAAGGCAGGGCAGGCAGGGCACAATTCCAGGGGTATTAGTAAGGAAAGGGGAGCAGGGCTAGGTGCTGCCACCAAGGAGGGGTGAAGTTGGTAAAAACTGTTAGGTAGCTAGTCAGACATGAGCGGGTGCTGCCCCATCGTGGAGGGGGTCATCTCTCCCGGCCCCCCACTGGTAATCAGAGCAAGGCCAGAGATCCTCCCTCTCCCAGTCAAGGACCACCACTGAGTTTCCAGGCTTATCAGGACTAAGCAGGATAAAATCGCCAACACAGGTTGGTGCAGGGGCACCAAGACCTAAAAAGTGACTTAAAGTAACCCAGGTTTCATTATGCCATATTTATAATAAATTAGCATTGCGGGTTTTTGCCCCGCCCCTCCCCCCTCCCCGTCCTTTTCGCTTGGGTGCTTCTCGGTGGTAAGCACCTGCGCAGTAAGAGAATTTTAGGTCATATAACCTAAAACTGTCAATCAACTTGTCAGTCAAATGACGTAGGGCGTGGGGAGGGACTGCCACCACTCTAAGAAGCCCAACGCTGTCCTGACTGCAGGGCTGCTTCTGGAGAGCGTACTTATGCTTTGCATAATAAAACTTGCTGCCTAAACCTGCTGTCTCTTGACTGAATTCTTTCCCTTGAGAGGACAAGAATCTAGGAATCGCCGGTCGGCCGGTAATAAAACCACTGTTTGTGGGACAGTAGGGTGTGGTGAGGGCCTGCGGAGTACACTCCCTGCAGGAAGGTTTTCAAACTCCATTTCTAAAAATGTGCTGGTCAAAACTAAAGGGGTCAGCAACTGGCCAGGCTGAGAGACGGCCAAGGCAAGGGGTTCCCCCGGCGGCCCAGGAGCCGTGCCCACGGGGACTGTGGTGGTCACAAGCAACAGGCAGACCCGGGGGCGACGGGAGCTGGGGCCAGTCACCAAACCGAAGAAAGAGCTGATCAGCCAGGAACCAGGAAGCACTGTCCAAGGGCCTTGGCTGCAGGATCTCTGAGTGACCGGCATGCCAGCTGGAGGGTCTCCTTCCCCAAGGCGTTTGACTGGCTTGCCTTGTGATCCATAGGTGCCCTGACCAAAGGAGGAGGGGGGCGGTGGGAATGCCCAGCTGGCAAAACCAGAGCTGCCAGCAGACCGGCATCCCCAGCTCCTGGCTGGGCAGAATTTTCAGGGTGAGACTGAAAACAACATACCCTCTCTCACGGCCGTCCGTCCCTTCGAACCGGTGCTGTGGTCACTTCTAGCCTCAGATGAAAGCTTGGGCAGTTTTAATACGTTTTAGATCACTCCTAGAAAAAGAAAAAACCTCCAGTTACTTTTAGCCACCATAACACTCTCAATCACGGGTGAAAACGTCCAGTCCGGTGTAAATAAACATCCCAGAACTTCGTGTTGGTGGAAGTTGGGCACTTCCACTCCCCCAGCTCTGGGCAGCTCTGGCTGGGAGCCTGAGGAGGGGACGGGGTGCGGGCAGGTTGGCTGCTTCTCCCTTTTCTGCGTTGCCCCACCCCCGCCCCTACCCCGCAGCCCTGAGGATATCTGTCTTCTCTGAGTTTGGAGCTGTCAGGAGGAAGGAGGGCGGGAAGCTTGCTCCCGTCTGATGCAGGAGACCTGGCATCAGGCTCTCCGGCCTGGGCGGGTGTCCCTCCACTCCTCTGGGGCTTTTCCTAAATGAGAACCTGCAGCTGCAGGGCCTCTCCTCCAGGCGGCTTCGTGACTCCGGCCTGGGTCCCGTGGCCCCTCCCAGCTCTCCTCCCGGCCAGAATCTAACCCCCTGCCTGACTCCCTGTTGTCCCCACCCTGGCGGGTGTCATTTCCTCCCCGTGTGTCCAGTGCTGCGTGGGCTCACTTTCAGGTGATGGGAGCTGGCCTCAGGTCTCGGGAGCCCGCAGACTCCAGGCAAGGGGGATCAGGCTCCCTCTGAGTGGCTCTGGAAGCCCCGCTCACTCAGCTGCGGGAGGGGAACGTGGGGTCCTTGCCACCCACTGCTCTACTTGCAGCTGTTGCAGCTTACCTGAAAAGAGACATTCTGGGGGGCGGGGGGAGGTCCTGGTCCCTTTGTCACTGCTCCTGTCCACAGAGCTGGGGCCTGGCTTTGAACTGACGCCGGGGGTAGGACCAGCCCCCACTGGATGCCAGCCGCCAACACGGAGGTATGCGCCTGGGCTTCCTGGCTCTTGCAGACCAGGGGCAGCGCCGGTGTAGAATGGACCCTGAACCCTGCCTGGAGTGGAGTAGGGTTGGGGTAGGCAGCAGTTCCTGACAGCTGCTTAGAGCCCCGTGTGTCTTCTAGTTCTGCGAGCTTTTTTCATTTAAAGTGCTAATTTAATTGTACTGGAAACTGCATGATGTGGAGACTTGC